ATTATGCACGAATTTGTTTTTCTCGTTTTTCTCGGAAATAAAGCGATATTTTGGCAAATGAAGTATACCACGGTTTATATCGCATCAAGGTCTTCCTAATACCAAAATATGAGCGAATTCGATTTTTCGGCTGTTGCCGGCGTATGGTCGATTTTTGCTGACATCCTCTCTTAATATGATGAAACATTGTCAGATATTTCTCACAATTACGAGATTGAAATAAATATATGACATAATCAAATTTCTTGATGGATGAACCTTACTCATTATTTGCATATTGTAGCGATAGCTGCACTGAGGCAAATCCACATCCAACTGGCAATCAAGCAGAGGAGAAGACATAGGGAACAAAAAAAACCCGCAATATAAATCGAATGGATGCCAGCTTGGCGTTCCTAAATTTAGATTTAACCGAACTATTGAACCTGTTGATCAAGTCTCACTGACCACTTGACGGCTACACTGATCCCTACAACGATTCTTTATGTCAAATGTTATATCAGAGGAGTAAACGTCAGTTGAACATTCACAAATTTATTCACAATTTTTACCTTTGTATGGCTGAGAGCATACGTGCAACTGCAACTGCAGGTTGCAGGTCATCAGAGTTTACGAATTTTGTGGTTTCCTTTTTTTCTTCTGTGCCCAAAAATAAAAATAATAAACAAACAAACAAACAAATATTGTGGAGATAAATATACGAATATACCAAAATTTAATGATTAACCTGCAACCTGCTACTTAGACCTGCAGTTTACTCCATCAGGGTTACTTTAAATCAGTTAATCAGTAAATATTGATTTTTAACTTCTTAGCCTTCAGGAACTCATAATACGGCTTAGCATCAGTAATAGCTTTCCTGACTTCATCTGGCATCGTACAGTCGTCTGCTTTAGTCTTCTTAGCATTGAAACCATAACTTTTTATAACATTTTGGTGCCACAGGCCAGCGCAGTGGGCGTACTCTGCGACTGGGCCTGGCTCCCAAGATGTCATATGTGACTGATATGTTATGCCTACAGCATCGCAGTACGTCTTCATCGTTTCGTCAGGATGATCCAGAAGATCATCTGCGTCAATCAGTACAGGACTGGGATGAACATTTTCTACAATGAAGTGATAAAGCTCGTACATCTGTCGAAATCCTGCCTCCTCGGGATCAAAATAATTCCATCCTGCGCTCACGATCTTGGGATCTTTTGAGGCCCGATACAAGGCTGGAATGGATTCTTCAGGATTACGAACAAGAAAAGTGTGCTGGGTACATTTATATTGTGGTTCCAAGAACATCTCAAATTTATTCTCTACATAATGTGCCATATTTTTGGAAAAAACAACCTCTTTTCCTTCGTACTCTTTGGTTATTTTTCGTCCTGCCTCTTTGTAGGTTTGGTCGGTTTTGATTGGTCTGGAAGCATATCTGTTACTCTGCCTTTCTGGACCCAGGTAGAAAACGTCATCAAAAGGTTCATGAATGACTTTAACATTGCTAAGCGTTATGATAGAGCGCTCGAATGCTGTTGAAATGCTTCTTAATGCTGTCCACAATAGGACGGTTTTTGGTCGAACTTGTGCCATCTCGTACTGATCTCGTAAGGCCTTCCTTTTCTAGAGTAGAAACAGATAGTCTAAAAGTTGAATAGACCCTCTCACGGTTTCCGACGCCATATTGATTGGGGGCAAGTTTACTAAGAAGCGACGGTGAAAGAGCGATACGTTTTTCCAAACTTGACCAAACTTTTTCTGTAGACGGAGAATCCTCTGTTCAATGTTTTGTGTGCTGTTTTTGAGCCGATGGAGCCAGCATAACACTGGTGCATAGAGAGACGAAGGCTTTGGGCTTTGCGAGTTTTGCGACTTGATCATACTGGTTCAATTTGACCGTTAAAAAATATTGCCTCGACAAGAATGACTCGATCGGCTCAAAAGCATTACAAAACATTGCACAGAGGATTCTCCATCGACAGAAAGAGTTTGGTCTCGAAAATTTACCTCAGAATGGAAATATAACGAAGAACGTATCTCATTCCCCGGCGCTTCTAAGTAAACTTGCCACCCAAGCAATATGGCGTTGGAAACCGTGAAAGGGTCTGTTGAATGAGTTTGGTCTGGCAGTTTTTGTGGCCACAGGGATCCCATCTGTTAAAAACTAATCATTGTTTTTACCTTCATGTAGATCCTCACAACTGTATTTTTCCCCGAAGTGAGTTTTGCGTGGTTACTCCTAGTCTCCAACACAGCCGCTATTAGTGTCGTCACGCAACGCTCACTCTCCTAAGTAACGGCTGCTTACCCGAGCACAACATTCCATTCCCTTTTGTCTGCGGCTAACGAATCAGGGAACTGTGTAACATTGATTTACCGCTCCATTCACAGGCGGCCCAAGCTCTTGTCCTGTGGAGTTGTATTACAACAAGCGGGTCATTTGAACGTTGGTATATAAGGGACTGTGCAGGTATATAAGGGACTGTGCAATAATTATCGGGAGGGGGGG